ACTTCATCGATCTGCCTGTTCTGCTCCCCACTCTGTCTCTGGTGAAGCCTCTCACTGCCCCTGAGCCTCTGGCCTGTACCCCCAGTTCTGTAAGCATAAAAAATACAGCTCTTATCCAAAAGAGTGCAACTTTGTTTTCATCTTTTATGAGAATTTCTAATAAACAATAAAAATATTTTTTGGTGTCGCCGCTTGGTATCTGGACATTAAGCAGCAGTAAAAAGCAAAGTGAAACGCAGCTGCAAATTCCTGTTATGCCTCATTGGCATATTGGTATTTTTTTTTTGGCATATTGGTATTTTAAGAACAGTTACTGCTGTTTTTTTCATGATTTGGACATTTTTTTTGGACCCTCCGTGGTGGCATAACGGGTTAAAGCGCAGCACTGTGAAGCGGGCCGCAGCTGCTTCTGCATTAGCTCCATTCCGGCCAGGGGGTGACCGAGATGGCGCAGCAGGCCTCTCCCATGTCCCCGCTGCTCCCCTCAGCAGTGTGTTTCAGTCAATCTGTCGGTTCCGCTCCCTCCTCAGACACTGGTGAATCCTCTCACCGCCCCTGCACCTCTGGCCTGAACCCCAATTCTGTCTGCATAAACAAACAAATCTTTAAAATAATTGTTCTCAGTATTAGATTTGTCATGCTTCTAGGCTCACTATTCTCAATCCTTTCATATGGTATAGAGTGTCCCATGTAGAAAAACAATGATGCAAATCTGTATTAACAAGGAGACTATATTGCTATTGTGTATATTCATTTATTTCCTGTAAAAATTAGATATTAAATTATTTAAAAATTTTTTTGGTCATAGTTTCTTATCTGAGTGGAAGCTTTACCAGCATTATTTTTTCTCTTCAGGCAAAGCTGTTGCATCATCGTCCCCAAGGACACTGCTCCCACTGATGTCCTGTAGGTCTGTGCCAACATTCACTTCTCCTTAGAGTCATTATCATGTCTGCACTTTGGTCACAAAGGGCCCTTTATTCTCCCAGATGGTCTTAGCATGTCCACAAAAGACAGAGACAAAGGACCTACCTTAACTAGCATGAACATTCGACCCAAGATATCAGAATTATCTTTCTGAAGTGTATACAATTCCACTTATACTTGTCAAGTTTTTAAATAAGTGTTTTTACTCTATCTTAAGATTGTTTTCCAGACTTGCAAAGAGTGGAGTGTCTGTTTGGGAATCACGGAGACCTGCTGTCAAATATGTCTTGTAAGACGTAATGAAAACTAGCAGAGCTCCATGAAGGCCGTTATGGATAAATCGACTCTCCTCACACTGTCATTTTCATCTTGAGATTCTCATCACTGCATATTCACATGAAGTCAGTTTCGTCTTCCAAGAGAGTAAGTACATTTTGCTTGTGAATGTCAGTGTATTTACACATCATTCTATTCCTTTGGTCTTGGAAAATACCTGGCTTCTGTGTTAGAATTAAAACGCTAAAAGGGAAACGATCGTTTCTGACATCCTGTTAAAGTGTAATACAGTATATTCATTAGGAGTGTTGGTTGCACGCAGCTGTAAAAGATAGTTCCTCTGGCCTATACCCCAGTTCTCTAAGCATAAATAAATAAACCTTAAAAAAAAGAGAATGAAAGGGTAGATGTTCTAATTACTATTGATACATGCACACATTCTATGTGACTACCAATGAAGCAGATGTTAGTGAGGAAGCTGGCTAAAGTGAGAGAATAAAAGCATTTATACGATACATCAGCCCACAAAAGAGCAATGTAGAGACTTGGGGTCACATTTAGATGACATAAAAGTTAATATAAAATATCCAGCTTTTTTAGATTAGGTTCAACAGAAAAACTTCTTGGGTACCATTAAAAGTAAGTCTAGAGAGATGTGTCCTTTGTTGAGAAGAGTCACTCTTTCAATATTTTCACAGCCTTTAAGGATCACTGAGTGTATCCTGGAAGTAAGCTTGCTGCTGGAGGCACAGATTTTTATAAATAAAATTTCCCAACATTGTGATAGTGAGATCATTGTAGCCTGCTATGGTAACAGGAAACGGAAAGGCTGGTCCAACTAGCAACTAAACTAAAACTTGAAGGAAGGACAGTGGATGTTAGAGTATGGAGACATTGCATGAGAGGCAGAAAGTTCAGCGAATGTAATTATCTCTGGGAAAATCTAAGGAAAATACTGAGACTTTCAAGTGCTGTTTCGTCTATGGTGAGGAAGCAGCTGATGATTTC